TACGGTCGGTCGGTCGGTACGTCGGTGGTCGTAGGTCGTGCGTCGTCGTGTGTGTGTCGTCGTCGTCGTCGTCGCGCGTCGCGTCGTCGTCGTCGTGCGTGTGTGTGTGTGTGTGTGTGTGTGTGTGTGTGTGTGTGTGTGTGTGTGTGTGTGTGTGTGTGTGTGTGTGTGTGTGTGTGTGTGTGTGTGTGTGTGTGTGTGTGTGTGTGTGAAGTGTAGGGCGACGTGTGTGTAGTGTGATGTGATGTGGTGTGGTGTGGCGTGGTGCGGTGCGGTGGTACATGTGTGGGTGGGTGCGTGCGTGCGTGCGTGCGTGCGTGCGTGCGTGTATGTTTGTGCGTCTAGCACCTCGCGACATTCACTACTGCGCCGATCCCAAACCTGCGATTGCGATAAGAGAGCCTATAGCCAACGCCGCGCATGCTGTTAGTAATTATCGTTGTTCATTTCTATGAGAACGCTGTGTACCGGCTACCGAACAAACACACGGACTTCAGATGCTCGGCTTTCACTTTATATCGCATTATTACGCGTGTAAATATTGTTAACGATGAGCACACATCTCCGATTCCCCCATGTTCTATATTAACGCTACGGTGAGATTATCACGTGTGCTTCGATTCGTGTGCAAGCCTGTATACGTCATGACGCGTCATTACTATACAACAAGCCGATAAAGTGAGAGGCAGTTTGCGATTCTACGCATAGGGGCCCTGGGGGGGAAAATGTGTTGAGCGTCTCTCTAGTCCCACGAGCGAATTTTGTTTACATAAGATGTTTGATATGATATATCAAAGTATATTTATTGTTGTGGTAGCAGGTTTATTTGCAGTGCATTTCCAACTAATAGATGGTCGTGCACCACCCATTATGTCTACTTCACGTTACCATACTTCTTAGACAGTCGAGGTATCGGCTATGAGCTCTCGTTTATAGGAAGAGCTACTACTGCAAAACCTGTCGTGAGAGAGGAATGGTCGTTATTACTATGACCGTTATTTTACTTCATGGGGAAATGTCAGGTGGTGCTTCATGAAAAAGCCAATGTATGTTTTCCTATACGAAAACTAAAACACCTGAAATGCGTTGCGCATGTTATCGTATATTATATATATATATATATATATATATATATATATATATATATATATATATATACTTAATTACATGTATGCACGCGCTAGGGTGAAACACAACAGAATGCAAACAGTTTGGAATACCGATTACAGTGCTTTGCAGTATAACTACACAAGTTACAGGACAAATTATTTCATATCTAATATTGTTACGGGACTTTTTCCAAGCACCACGCTGCTGTTGCTTTTGGTACTTTCATCCAGAAGCTGCCTTTTGCCACAATTAAGGGGAAACCATTAATAATTCGCTCGTTATTGCCATTCGCAGCTTT